TGCGCGTTGTCTTATAAAAGATATTTGAAAATACCTCCGATGTTGTTGACAGTTTCCCCAATCCCCAAGCAACCGTGCAGCGGTGCTGCGGTACAGTGATACGGGTGTAGCAAAGATAAAAACATGTGACGTCACGTCACCACTTCGAGGCTATATTGTTTGGCAAACAGTCGGCGTTTGCGCCAGAATGCCAGTTTTCTCACCTCTTTCTTGTGGGTTTTAAGCAAACGCGCAGTGAAATGGGAGCAACTAGAGTTCATTTTTTTATAAGGTAGTGTGATTATGCATGACACGAAGTATTTGCTAGTCTAGTACTGGAGAAATTAGCGTTTGGATGCGCATTGTGCGGCTTTAAGATAATCAGGAGTTCTACTCTGTGCTCGAGCGAGGAAAGATTATCAAGCAGACGGTTAGTTTTCCGTGTCATGTGCGCGCGCATGTGTGCGTGCGTGCGTGCGCGTGCGTGCATGCGTGTGCGCCTGCGTGTTTACGCCCCCATGTGCATGTTGTTGTTTTTATATTAGCCTAGCTGTTACGCCGCCTGACACGGTAAAACCATTTAATTAATGAATATTCATAATTATTATAATAATTATAATTAAATATGGGCCAAATAAGACACGCGGAGCACAGATGATAGCGAGGAAATGCTGCAATACATGCGCGTACGCACGCACGCACGCACGCACGCACGCACGCACGCACGCACGCAATATGTAACCCAGAGATATAGTGCTGAAATGGCAGCCGCCACGGAAAGTTCTTGTCAAATTATATTTGAATTTCCATCAGCTCTCTCCCAAAAACCGTATGCAGAACCCAAGATAGGCAAATTACGAGAACGATATCAATATAGAAGTAGTCAGAAGAAATTTAGATTAACTGGAACATAAATTTAATAATGAAAAAACGTCTAAAAACGAAGCATGCGTATGAGATTGTCCCAACAAGTCACACAACGGCTATTTATTTGGAATTTCTGCGTGTCGCCAAATTACCGTTGCGAACATTGAGACGTCTGGTACTGTAAACTTAAATAAAAATAAGACGCTACAAAAAAGTAACTTTGGTCCCTTTATCCCAGATAACGTACATAGTCGTATTTGCCTTTCTTTGTGAAATCTCTACAGTGTATTACAGTTATTCATTAAAACACATTGTTATTTAATTAATACATTATTATACATAACGTGCTTTATTGTAATAGATAATGATTCTTAAAAAAAACATAGATAAACAATATGGATATTAGCAAGAGCTAATAATGCCTAGGGGTAATACAAGAGTTAATAATTACGGGGGTCTAATACTGTGCAATAATACGCAATTATAATATTAATTTGCTTAATATTGTTAGCTCGTTGTAGATCTCTAATTTATATACAGTTGAAACAAAACACGTTCAAAAATACGAATGCAAACTAATGCGTGGTAATTTACAAGCTGTAATAATGTATAGTTATATATGCGTCATCCGCCCGTAGTCAATAACGCATTGTCATTGATTGTAATCCAATCTTTTGTAAGCTGAAGCTGAATGCTTCACGAGGCGACTGTGTGGGGGAGATTCTAGCGCTCACCCACGCAAGCAGACGATGAGGACAAATCGTTGCTTTTAAAAGCATATTTGCCGCGCGCGTGCGCGTGCGGTTGCGTGCGTGTCATATCACGTAACAGATGCATTAGAGCACTCACACGAGTCGTCTGTATGCTGTTGATTTGTTAGCGAGCGCACTGGGTCAGTCGGAAGCTGCAAAGTAAGTCATCGCACATGCATACGCCGCAATTTTCGCGCTGTCTCAACTCGCGCTGTTTCAACTCGCGCTGTCTAAACCAGCGCTGTTTTAACCAGCGCTGTTTCAACTCGCGCTGTCTCAACTAGCGCTGCCTCAACTCGCGCTGCCTAACTAGCGCTGTCTCAACTAGCGCTGCCTCAACTCGCGCTGCCTCAACCAGCGCTGCCTCAACTCGCGCTGTCTCAACTCACGCTGCCTCAACTAGCACTGTCCCAACTAGCGCTGCCTCAACTCGCGCTGTCTCAACTAGTGCTGCCTCTACTAGCGCTGCCTCAACTCGCGCTGCCTCAACCAGCGCTGCCTCAACTCGCGCTGTCTCAACTCACGCTGCCTCAACTCGCGCTGCCTCAACTCGCGCTGTCTCAACTCGCGCTGTCTCAACTCGCGCTGTCTCTACTAGCGCTGTCTCAACTCGCGCTGTCTCAACTAGCGCTGTCTCAACTCACGCTGTCTCAACTCGCGCTGTCTCAACTCACGCTGCCTCAACTAGCGCTGCCTCAACTCGCGCTGTCTCAACTCGCTCTGTCTCAACCAGCGCTGTCTCAACTCGCGCTGCCTGAACTCGCGCTGTCTCAACTCGCGCTGCCTCAAATATCACTGTCTCAACTCGTTATCAACATGATAGCTAGCCCTATTATATGATAGCTGGGCCTATTATACGTGCGACCCTAACAATCGGATCAGCTAGAGTCACGCATTTATTCTGAGCTCTAGCGTGATGATAATTTTAATCGAGAAAGACGCACGCAGCAAAGCCGGCAGTGAAAGGCATACGCTAGTAGCAGCTGTAAAAGAGAGCATCACTCGTGTCTGATGCAGCACGCATGTAATCGTAGTCATAGTAGCGGCTGTGACTAGAAATGTTATCGCCAAATCGCCAACGGTGTTGCAGACATATTGGATTTTTCGTCCTCTTCTTCTTCTGTGATATTAAAAAGCGCCTACGCGATGAGTTTACATATTCAGTTAGTATGTATATATATATATATATATATATATATAGTAGGTAGGGCGAGTAGTGTGTTCTTCTACTACTACCGACTACTACTACTACTATTATATCTCGTGGTGGTGGTGGCGTGTGTGTGTGTGTGTGTGTGTGTGTGTGTGTGTGTGTGTGT